AAGAATCTGACCTAATTGGCAATGAGGGCTAATCCCGCTCGAGAGCACAGTGGATAAAACAGAGATTGTATTTGAAGTTACATCAAATTCTTGAACGACACGGAAGGTTTTTCGATCGTACTGGATAATACGAGATTGGCCATGATCAACCGTTAGACGATCGGAGTGTTCTTTTGTTTGGGGAGGTCTTTCCTAATCACCATGTTTTTCAGGCGAAAGGTAACAGTGCCGTAATTATAAAAATAACTCTGCTGTCTGCTCATATAATCATGCCTCACTATCTAAGCACTCCTACGGGGCCAGTAGTGAAACAAAAAGCTCTATGAGTACATTTGTCTGTTGCCTGATTGCTCTCCTCTGACAGGAATGCAGCTGGTGGTAACGAAGTCCTAGTCAGTCTAGACTACCGGATCGTTACAGTGCACAAGCTTGATTATCAAATTAAGGTGGCAAAGTAATTCAGAAAGCAGCCACCTGGAGACAGATGAACAACAGACTACACGAGAAGGTTCACAATACTATCCGACAAATCAGCACTTGCTTTGATGCAACAAATCACAAGGCCGTCAACAGACTAACCACAGTTAAAGCTGCAGTATGGAATGTGAAGGGATAGTTTTGAATGTTTCACAAAGCTCATATACAAGTCCTGTGTTGAATAGTGTGAAGGCGAACAGGCGCACTAGATTACGTGATTTTCTGAAATGCACGTGAAGCGGATGCGAGATGTTACTGGTGCAAACACAAACAGAAGCTCCTGAGAGTCGCCTCTGGAGTGATTCCACCTATCTGCATGCCTGAGGGATCTAATCACGTGCCATCATCATCATCATGATCTGCCTGGCTGAGAGATCCATTAACATTCCACACATAACGGGGATCACAAGATCAAAACGGAAAAGTAATTCAACAGTATAGACACGTATATGTTATACAGTATATATATATATATGTGCCATTTTCAATAAGTACAATTCTTGCTGATGAGTAGTAGAGGATTTTGATTTTTCATATAGACTGAACATCACCCACGATGGATCGCAGCCGTCGCATTCCCATAGACTTTCCAGTCGGCCCTTTTCGAAAAGAAGCAATAGACTCGAGTTTCACTTTCATTAGAGCTCGTCAGTAGTGCATATCCTCGCCACTGCCGAGACTGGAACCACGGCTACGCTGTTCATGAGGCAACCGTGTTTATCACTGCACCACTGACCTCACATTAAGCACGACCGAATTATCATGTGTGAACACAACCACTTTCACTTGTGAGTAATGACGAGTTCTCATGAGAGCGAAACTCGAGTCTAGTGCTTCTGATGTTCTAAATGGGCCGACTGGAAAGTCTATGGGACTGTGACAGTTGCGAACAATTGTGGATAATGTTCAGTTTATATGAAAGCACAAGTATATAAATATACGTAGTAAAAGGGGCATATAAATAATCAGGACTTGTGTAGCCGTCCTGCTCCAATGAAAGGTGTGCCTACGCACAACGCTGGTAATTGAGGTTGGGTGAGACGCCAATTTACATGTAGGATGAATGTCTCTGCAGAATCCAAGTTAAGGTCGGGATTACAAACCATTGCAAGAATACGAGGAACATGACTGAAAACTATGGTGTCATGAGCCGTGCAAACAGGAACAGATTATAGCAGGTTCGGCGTACTGCATCCAGACGGCCTGATCGGCCAAACACTTCAATGGAAGAGCAATAGCATCAACATATGGATATCTCAGATAAAATACAAACTTTCTGGCATGCTCCAGATTGCCGTGCTGAACTGTAGAAACGAGGTTGCTCAAATCGCGGAATTTGTCCAGGCCAACTTCGTTTGCATCGAAACCGAAGTCCTAGAGAGGAAAATATCATAATTTGGGGGACTGGCTAAATGTGAGGAATATAACTTGTATCTAGTTACAAATGTCAATGGAAAGACGAGCGTTCCAGAAAAACAATGCGACAGTCAGTTTCTTAACAACTGTTATCCACCTAGATAAAAATTCATATTGATGTATCTGTATTGTATAGCTATGTTATGGAATAAATGATAGACACAACAAAAAGTAAGGAATACGAGCACTTGGAGCAAATAGGAGCAACTCAATTACATGTCAAGAAGATAGCGCATTCGTCTTTAAGTATAATCATCAGTCGCTTCTGTCAGAGTGTAATGCTGACTTCACGAGAACCAGCAGTAATGTCATCCATTTAATACCGCGTTACCTCCGACTGAGCCACACTAATTGCCATTCATGTGATTGGCAAAGTGACTACCAGGACTCTCATGTAGCAATGAGTCAGTCCATTTCTCATTGTAACCAGTAAATCTGTTAGCTGAAGCAGACATATTTTTTTCGATACCGGTTGGCTGTGCGACCTAACCAACCTCCGACGCAAGCAACTGGATCAAGAGCTGGTAAGCGTAGTCGCTATTGAACCTTATGTGATACCAGGAGATGGTAAATCTTCGACACGCTTGGAGTGTTGCACTATCTGTTCGTAAGATCCAGCCAACCGAAGCGTTAACCAAAATCAATATATGGTTACACAGTCCCATTTATTCAATGCTGCCGGAATAATACTGCTCCAAATGTGGACTGAATCAGCGTCAGCCAGTGGTGTTGAAGTTGATGTAAATTTGATCACCAGTATGGACCAGAATCGGAAAGTATCACCTTGTGGATTCGGTGTCTTGATTAAATTGGTCGAAACACGTTGACAGACCACTGTTAAATGTGTTCACATATTAAGACATGCAACTACAAGAGACCACAGAAATATCACAAAAACAGTTACGTATGACCTTGGAAAACAAAACGTCTCTTATATGGTAGACCGTAACTCCATTCCAGGCTAGAGAAAGTATGCGTCAGTCTCAGAAGATAAAAGTACGAAAATGTGCCTTAAAACCGGGTCACTCACCATCATCATCATCATCATCATCATCATCATCATCATCATCATCATCATCATCATCATCATCATCATCATCAT